CTCGTATGGTGGAAGGACCCAGCTCTCAAGGTTTGGTATGAGTTCTGTGCTTCTCGGAGTTAAGGTTCAAGGCGTAGTCCAGTATCTGCACAGCAGCACCCGGGAGGATTTAGTCAACAAAGGCCTTCAACACGTGGTAGTTTCCAGAAGCAGGAGGACTCCGTTGACCCCAACACCCTTTAATCCCAAGTATAGGGACCCCCCCTTCCCCCTAAACCCTAAATCCAGTTCATGGGAACCCTTATTTATGGGAACCCTTATTTGAGTTCGCATACTCGTACCAGCTCCACCCGTATCTTGCCTGCAACCCTAAAGCCGCCCTCAACCCTAAATTCCTGACTTACTTTTAGTAGGGAATATGGGAATATACTCCCCAAAATATCCCTACATAATACTCCTGCTTCCACTTGGAGTGTCAGGGGTCTTCGTAAGTATATTTAATACAAATAGCACATACCCCTGCAATAACAAATGAAAAAGAAAAGAGAAAGTACTATATGTTTTGGGGTTTAGCGTTTAGGGGACCTAGCGACTTAAAACCTTATAGGTCACACAGTAAACCCAGCTTTTCCACTTCTTTACCGACTTACTAAGTCCCCGCGACGCTCCAAGCACAACTTTGAAAGACAGATTCCGAAGTAATGAGCAGACCAGGGGTTACAGGACATGTGACGAGCTACTGCCCAGAAATTTTGCGGCCTTGTATGTCAATGACGCCTGTTGCAAACAAATAATTCGCTATGGACCCCCAGCTTCCAGTCCATTTTCCATTTTCTCTTCCATCTGATTCTAAATGATTGAGCAAATACTCCTTGTAGATTCCTATAGAAGCCTCTGGTCGTAGTTTCCATGTCGTTGTCAACTTTCTTTCCATTTAAGGCTCGACTATTGGGGTAATATTGCTCCTTGGGACTTAGCTTGGACCTTAGACCCTTAACCCTTGTATATTCCTATTATAGGTAATTAAGGGTTAACCCTTAGTGGGGGTCCTAAGTGCCAAGTAGATTGGGACGACTGGGCAGGTGGAGGACTATGTCGCGAAGGCTGGCAAGGTGAACATGTCCGAGTACTCCTAAACAGTGGGAGGTGCACATAATGAGCGCCTGGGATGTGATGATTTAGGAGGACCCCCCACCCTGTAATAGTGGTATAATAGGAATAGAAGAGGACCCTAATGAAATCCCTATTATCCCTTACAGTCACTATTACTGGGTGGGGGGTCCACCTAAGCGATAGTACAGGCTTGAACCTACGACATATGGTACTTTCCCAAAATAAGGGGACCCCAATATAGACCCAAAAATACTATAATCCTTATTATTGGGACCCCCAAAGAGGTACCCCTAGTTTTGGGACACCCCCATATCCACAACAGAGACTTTCTTGGGGTTACTCCACGATCACGAGAGTGAGCGGGGGAGTGAATACAGCAGGGTGCTTTTATAGGTCCATTCCGGCTTGAGCCATGAGTTTAGGGTTTAGGGTTTAGGGCTTAGGGAGGAGGACTTCGAAAGTATATTGTAACCCCTACACGCGACTCACAAAAAATCTATGTGGCAGTTTCCCTAAATAAGGGGACCCCACTATATGCCCGCAAATACTATAATCCTCATTATTGGGACCCCTAAAATGGTACCCCTAAACCCTAAAATCTAAACCCTAAACCCTAAAATCTAAACCCTAAACCCTAAACCCTAAAATCTAAACCCTAAATCCTAAACCCCTAATTTTGGGAAAGCCCCGTTTATCAGCATTGATAAGCGGCCTGCCACCTTGGTCCCCTTAACCCTCCAAGTGGAGGGGTTGACACGGTTGAGGGTTTAGG